GGTAGACAAAGGGTGTCTCGCGATGTGTACTGCAAACGTCTTACCAGTTAGACTAGCTTTCTTTTATATAGAATAGTAGCAATATAGTCTTATAGTAGCCTAGAAACCTTTCTTAGAATATCCTTAGTCTATAAGGCTAACTAAGGTATAAGGAGGAGAAACTAATACTAAGTAAGGATTTAAGTAGAGCATATTATCTAGGAGTAGCCTAAGCTAGTCCTACCTCTATTAGAAAGAGGTTAAAAGAGTCTCTATAACGCTTAAAAAGGCTACTATAAATAGTGTCTAACGCCCCTAATTTGCTAGCTTATACTTATCTATAGTAAGAAACCCCTTTAATTATATCTCTATTATAAAGTCTTAAGAGATAGCTAGGTAAAGAGAACCTCTACTACTAGCAAGTAAATATTACTAAATACTCTAAAGGAAAGAAAGACTATAAGCAATTAAGAATATAAGGTTGTCCCCTAATACTATAGAGAGATTAAGTTTAGGTAGTCTAGGCCCTACTACGCCTATAATAGTCTAATCTGCACTAAGTAATACTAAAGATAGGTAGATAACCTATAGTTAGTAGACCTAAATAATTAGTCCTATAGTCTAGGACTACTACTAAAGAGAGGCTACTCTACTTTAACTCTAACTAACTCTACCTGCTAGTTATAAGTGTAACTAGTATACTAGTATAATTAACTATTCTTTAATATACCTACTTATATACTTATAATTATAAACTACTACGCCCTTAATAAACTAAAAGACTATATACTACTACTACTAATACTACCTATTAGCCTTATTAAGGACAGGTATAACTCCTTAGCTCCTATAGGGGCATAATACTAGCGCTAGTTATACTATTATTTAAAAGCCTAAAGGTTGCGATCCTTAGCCTTACTATAGTAGTAACTACTAACTACTAGTCCTAATTCTAGCTAAGATTACTAATTTAAAATCTATTAAATAACTAGTTAAGTAAAGTATTAAGTTTAGCTTAGGTATAACTATCCTCTATAGAGACTATAGATCCTTAGAAAGTATAGGTGTATACTAACCTACTACTTATCTATTATATAAACTATAGGCTCTAGGAGCTTATTAGATAGTGCTAAGTGCAACTACTACTAACTGCAACAACTCTTATTACAGCGTTTATTAACTTAGAGGTGCTACCTATCTTAATAATATTAATAGAATAATAATATAGAGAAGGTACTACCTTATTACCTTAAGTGTAAGTACTTAATAGGGACATCTCCCTAAGTAACATAAAGACAGAGAGACGCGTGTAGAGACGCGTGTATTGCTATAACTACTTATTAGGTAGACCTAAGCTAGTTTTAATAACTAGTACTACGCCTAGTATAGTGTCCCTACGCTACTATAACCTAGCTAGTATCTAGTATATCTT